GAGAGAGAGAGAGAGAGAGAGAGAGAGAGAGAGAACAAGGTGAAAGGAGTAAGTGATTTGACACAAGAGGAAGGCGAAATAAGTTGGACAGAAGGAGGAATAAAAAACAAGTAATAGTGAGGGATTTTCAGGTTTAGCGTGTGCGCCTTGCGTGTCGCGCACACACTAACTACACTGGGGGGAATGACGTAAACCTCCAACAATGAGCGTGATGTCACACAGAGTGGTGGCTCTCTCATACAGCTACAAGCTTTTGACTCCCACCTCACATGCTTGCTAAAAAACACTCAGATCTATTCCTCCCTCTCGCTCCTCTGGGTATATCGAGTGGCGGTAAAAAAGTGAGCGGTGGGAGCGTTTACAAACTGTATAATACGTTGGAAGGAGAGAGATGAAATTACGTGTACACTAAACCGTTGAAACGCCCTCTCGCTTCTTTGATTAAATATGGTATGGAAGTTCAGTACGAAATTGTGCGCAATTTTTTTTCATTCTCAGCGAGTTTTGCAATACCAGTCTAGTGATTTTTGTTTTTTCATTTTGGAGGCATTCGGATTATTGATTCTGAAGGCATTTTAAAAACTAAAACCAAATGAAGAGCAGGGCAAATGATTTTTACATATGGAATTACAGAATCATTTTTCCAATTGACTATTTTGAACCCGGAATTCCCTCGAATCCTTCACATCGATATGCTAATAAAAATAATTTTCAAATTCGAAAGATGTACTGCATGCTTATTTTTACTTCTAACATATTCTAGAAAATTTGAAATAACAAAAATGTCATACTCTTGAATGAAGCATTTCTTCTCATTATTTTCACTTGAAAAAGTTAATAATCATAAAAGTATGTATATAAATACATATACGTATTTCTTAAACTGAAACACCTTCACACGAAATTTAGCTTCGAACTCCTCATTTTTTACACTAGAATTCAATCACTATAGTTTATCTGACATTCGCATTATTTGTGTGGTACTTGAATATAATGTGTATACAAAATCTACAATATATACAGCCAAAAAAACTGATTTTTGTCAGCTACGAAATGTTTTTAGTGGAAAGTGGGAAAGCTGCCGGTATCTAAACAAGCAACACGTATTTTTAAATGAATGAAACGAAGAAAAAGTGGGATAGATGTACAGCATAACGATATGAAATGCGTGGTCCCTATCTTGGTTGCCTCATTCTCGTTTCTTGCTGTCCATTTTCCTATTTCTATATTAAGAAGCGTTGTCAGTTCCAATATAATTTACAAATTGGAAAAAATATATCTAAAGGTTAATTCGAAATATAAACTGAATCTAGAGGAAAGAGTGTTACGGTAGACTCTTGTTAAAGTCGCTCGCAGTTTGTTCAACCTCCGTTAGCGTTAAAGTAGCTTTAATAATCGTCAACTATCCTTCAACTGTGGTGCCTCTAAAATCTAATGGCGCTGTTGCACTCATTGCAGTACGGGTGTCAGACAAGGATAGCGCACAAACAGTTGAAGGCACTTCGAAGTTAACGCTCCTTTAGCTAATGAAGCTTTATGCTAAAGGATGTTGAACAAACTGGCCCATAGGGAGGTATTCTGACGGGGTCTCCTCAGTAATATTCGCCACAAAACAACGATGTGCTAGCGAACTGAATATGTCATAAATAATCAAGAATGGGAAAAGGAAAATTGTAAAAAAACTGATTAGTATTACTGTTCCGTTAGTTTTTAATAAATCATTCAAATTTCTGCTAATACATGGGCTTTATGGACGCTATTTTGTCTCTTACCCCTCACCCTGTTGACAATGTGCTAGCGAACAAAGAAAGCTATATTTATCTATATTAAACTCTAAAAAATACGGACATGAAGTTTCATCGTGCTTTGCCGTTGATTTGTTGAATAAATAAACAATAAAAATAATTGGCGTGATGCCTGTCACTATCCAAAGTACACCATGTTTGATGTTTCATCTCTCTTGGAAATAACCTCATCAACTTAACCATTTTAAGCTCCACTCACCCTTGCGTCAATCACTGTTTCACCCTACTGAGGACAGCGTTGGTAGCTGGGTCAATTTCTCCTACTAGCGCCGCCGCGGCAGCGACGTTGATGCTCTTTCATTATTCTTTTTCTCGTTTTTTCCTTGTGTTTCTTACAAAAATTAATGATTCATCATCGGCTTATTGAACTGAATGTTAAGATTAGTGGACACAATGCTTATCGGTTCATCACTTGTTCAATTTCAATATTTCAATAAGTGATTCACTTATTGAAATATTGAAATTGAACTAATTCTGAATTTCTGTGCTCACTGAACGATGTATGTATAATTATAATCAAAATACTATTCAGAGTGCGAAATGATAATTATTAAAGTTCTCACAACCCAGAATTGTTGTGTGTTCGCCACCCCTTTTATTCTCTTTTACACGTTTACAAAAGCATTTAATTATTTTTGCTGGAAAAATTATGACCGATTCTGATGTTTCTCCGCTAATTCGGGGTATTTTCTCCTCATTAATAAACTTTTACACAACTTTATTCGACGATTTTTCTTTCCCATTTGAATCAATCAGAGTGCAGTAGTTGGGGTCGCGTGACTCCTTCACATCAGTTTTATTTCAAAGATTGCGCCTCTTCCTATCAATTGTTCTCGCATGGTTTATTAACAAACTAATATTTGAGAGACACTGAAATTTTTTTCTAATCTCCGAAAAACTCGTGGATTTTTTCGATTTTTTAAAGAAAATCTCATAATTGTTTTAAAATCTCTGGAAGCCCGAATCATCTTACATTCGGAAAAAACCGACAATTCTCTGATTTTTTAGGGAACCTGTAAACTTCCTTAAGGTTCCTATAATTCATCCGCTATCCATCCTATTGGAGGTGAATTTTGTAAAGAAGTTGAAACACATCGTCGCCAATTTCCTAAAATCTGAATCTTTAAGACTCTTAACAGTTTCGGCTTTGGATTGTTATCTCAGTGAAGCTAAAAGGCTCCTTTTTCATATTCGCTAGCGCTGCCGTGGCCGCGACGCTAATGCCCTTTCCTTATGCCTTTTTTCATTTTTTTCCTCGTGTTTCTTTCAAAAATGAATGATTTATCGTCCTCTTATTATACTTAGTGTTAAGAATCATGAAAATAATGCTTATCGGTTGATCGCCTGTTTAATATCAATATTTCAATAAGTGATTCACTAATTCTGAATTTCTGTCCTCTTTAAATGAGATTCTAACTATAATTATAATCAAAATTCGATTCAGAGTACAAAACAATAATTATTAAATTTCTCACAACTCAGGATGTTTTAGTCTTCGCCGCCCCCTTTACTCTCCTTTACACCTTTACAACAGCATTCAACTATTTTTCTGGAAAAATTATTAGGTGTGTGACTTAATTTTTACAGATTTTTCAGTAAATTTATTTAAGATAAAAAAATTGAGAACAACGAACTTAATCTTAGAAATATTGTCCATCGTTTTGTGGCGACTCCGTCCGCCGCAGTTCCCACTTCGTCCACGGCGCAGCGCGCCGATCACCCTCAAGGCGCAACCCGTCGCCCGCGGAAGCAAGCCTTGATACCAAAATTATTCTATGCCTAACGCTCACACCACACGTGAAGCATACGATATCATTCATTCCAAAGTTTAATTTGTATTGACTATTTCTACTACTGATAATAATAAATATTAGTGTTGTTACATACTGCGGAGATTACTCTATCTTGGGGAACCCTCTTAATAAGCTAAAGTTTTCTATGACCTTACGCCATCTCTCAGGTAACATTCGAATGCCGTCACGAAAGAAACTTGCAAGCTTCGGGGCGATAAAGTAAATTCTCCATAAAATTGCGAAATACTTGTGATTTTTTTTTGGAAAATGTTTGTGAAATTGTTGAGAAAATCCGAGAAATTTCTCGAATTTTTCAAATTATGTTCCTCGTTCGCATTTCAATCAATCAGAGTGCAATTGTTGGGTGCTCGTAACTCCTTCCCATCAGTTTAATTTGGAAAATTTAACCTTTTCCTATCACTTGTTCTCCCATTATTTTAAAAAAAATTCTCTAATATTTGGGAGATACCCAAAATTTTCTCCAATTTTCGAACTCAGTTTTCTCGATTTTTTTCAGAAACCCTTATAATTGTTTTGACTTCCCCAAAAAACCGCTGTATTACCTCACATTCGGAAAAAACTGATAATCCTCTGAATATTGTCATCTCATATTTCCAGCACAAAATTGAAAAGAAAAACTTGAAATGACTTCTGCTCCATCCTTTTCCGTGAACCTTAAATTCATGTTAATGATTCACAGGATATGACACAAATATCGTCATTCTTGTTCTCTACAATTTTTTAATTCAAATATTATTATTATTTTTCAAAGTGAAACAATTGATAATGGTTTTCATTGTGCCACATTCAAATTCTATAATCTCATAATTCTAGCTATACACTAAACGACGATTTGTCTAATCCGCCGTTTGCCTAAAGGAGGATTTGGAAAGACGAAGCTTACGGTGGCATCTTACAGTGATCTTTGGAAACGCCACTCTTGATAATTTGTAAACATAACCTGAAGTACCATTATTCACCTGGTAATTGTTGCTACGGAGAATAAAAGAAAAACAGAATTATTCATCTATAATTCGTTGTCGAGTGATAGAAAGAATTGTAAATAATGCCACAGAACCCGCGACGAAGGAGACCGAGACGAAGAGGGCCTCTTGCACGACGTCATTTAAATTATTTAATACTCAGTGCTAAACAATTTGACAACTCTTTCGGTTGACAAAAGAGGATTTTAATGTTTTATTGAATGAAATTGGCGCAGATTTGGAGTTCGTTGATAGAAGGTAATTATCATTTTATTAACCAATGAAATTAGAAGAAGACAAAACAGTTAAGAAGTAGAAATTGAGAAACCTCATTTTAATAGTATACTAGAGTAATAATTTAGGCAACACTGCAATAACAATCATTTACTTATTTTTCATTTGTTCTATTCTCAGGAATGAACCTGTTCCTGCAAGTACCCAGCTTCTGATAACGCTCCGTTTTTTGGCGACAAACAGTTATTATAATCTTATCGCTGATGTTGTTGGATACTCCAAGTGTACTGTCTGTTCGATAATTCATCGGGTAGTTGAGGCCATTACCCGTCAGCATGATCGTTATATTAAATTTCCAACGACTGAAGAAGAACTCCGACAAGCTCAGGCTGATTTTTTCTTAAAGTCAGATTTTCCCAAAGTTGTCGGCTACTGTGTTGATGGAAAACATTTTCAAATTAAATCATTCGGTGAGCAAAATATTTGACATTTACTCTCTGTTATAAATTTTAACGTGGTATCAAAGTAAAACTTTGAAGTCGTCGGTTGATTAAAATTGCCAGAGTGAATCTTGATATATCATCGGGTACCTAGAGAAAAGTAGGGACAAGTGAGGCAAAATGGACACATGACTTCTTTTGGTATGTTAACAACCTATCTAATTTTCAATGAAATGAGATATTTTTTGGCCCCATGGAAAGTACAATTGTTCCCCTTTGTGATGGGCCTAGACTGATCTCAATTGATTAATTTGTTCTCGAGTTATGAACATTAGAAAAAATGACATTTTTTTCTCACCCTTTCCTAAGGAAAATTTTGGACCCAACCTATTTTAGCCCGTATGTCGAGGAAAAACATAGTTTGTCGTATTTTATTTAGCTTTAAAATGCTTCCCGCGCAACATTTTTTTTTTGGTTTGGACTTTTTTTTCAAATGTTCGTTAGATTGCATAGAATAAAACTTTTTTTTTATTATCTCAAATACATCGTCAAAAAATTCGTTTTCGGTTTACTTTTTTTTTGTCTTTGCATACCATATAAAAAAACATTGTTTTGAGTATTTAATTCTCTATCTTTCAATGTAAAAAACATTTTATTTACTCTTCAATGATCAACTACTCGAAACAATGATTTGTATATACTGCGTGCAAAAACGAAAAAAAAAGAGTAAATAGAAAAAATTATAACAAATAATAATAATAATAAACAACAAAAACACGACATATCAGGCAAAATGGGTTGAGCCAAAAAATTTTTTTAGTTTTTTAGTTCCCCTTGAAAGACCAATAGTCCCTCAATGGCTGTTCTCATCAGTCAAAAATGTTCAAGTTTCACTTTGGTGTCGCCTTAAATCACTATCGACATAATCGCGGGTCTTCATGATAAATTTTCATTCTTCCCATTTAGGGGGACGTGACGGAGAATTGTTCAGAAACAGAGAAAATTACTTTTCAATTAATGTCCAAACAGTGTGCAATGTACATTTAGAGATCATAGATATTGTAGCAAGATGGCCTGGGTCAGCTCACGACGTGACAATATTCAACCAGTCTAGGCTCAAAAATGATTTTAACGTGGGGATGTATGGAGATTCATTATTGTTGGGCGACGCTGGCTATCCCTCATTGCCGTACCTCATGACGCCACTCAGAAACCCAGTAACCGGTCCAGAATGCCTTTACAACGAAGCCCAGATTAGGGGCGAGTTTTCGGTTCAAGTTAACCACGGTTAACGTGTGGTTAAGTCAAGTTGGGACTCCCCATCATATAACCTGCGTGAGGGGAATTATTTCTCTTACCGGCATGAGTTGAGGGGAAAATGGCGGACGGTTAGGACAACAAAACTCGGTGTTTATTCCCTCAGTTGCCGGTTTCAAGTTAATTGCGTCTAATAAAAAAGAAAAGCATTGAATATTGGTGTTCCATTAAGACGAGAGTTGAGGAAATTCTGTCTGCGATGGCTAACAATGACACGTAAGGATGGAATAAGTGTTTTATTTCAAAGTGTTTACAATGGATCATCGTGTCCATCCATTATTTTCCTCAATTTTTAAAATAATTTTATACTTGTAGAAGATCCACCAAAATTCGAGCCCAAAATTTCACTCAAGATGAAAAGATGTCTCTTATCACTATCATCCAGAAGTTTGGTGAAATAATCGAATGCAAACAAACCAATTCTGTATCAAAAGGAGATAAAGACAAAGCCTGGAACAGTGTTCACGAAGAATATAATGTCAATGCAGATCGACCTCGTACTCTTGACATGTTAAAAAAATTTTGGAACAATTTAAACAACAAGGGCAAGAGTTATGTGGCAACAGAGAATAGCGAAAACGTGAAAACAGGTAAATTTTGCGGACAAAAAATATGATGAAGTGATAATGACAAATTTCAGTTGAAATTTCCTCATTGAAAATTCAAAATTTCGTTAAAAAAATAATCGAAAACTGATTTTTCGGGCAGTTATTCCATAGAAATCAATAGAACTCATGAAAAGTTATTCTTGAATTTGCAATTTAATGTTAATTCAACAATATTTGATGGTCAATGCCCATGTTTTGATTGCAAGTTGAAGTGACTTAACGAACCCTCACATTCGTATCACGTGAAAATGTTGAGCTCGATTCTACTTCAAGGGGATTCGCAATTTCATGATTATTTTCCCCTCCCCCCTTACTTGAATTCAATGGAGTTCCTCTGAAAATGGCACGTTCATTAAAAAATGACACGTCTCTGTCCATTAATGACACGTCCATTAAAGTTGGATAGATTTTTTAGAAAATGAATGGCCCTGTTCATGACACTCTTCTTCACTCTGTACGTATACAGAATTTTTTATATTACAATTAAAAATTCGAAATTACATTTTCCGTGATTAGTGAAACTCTTGATAGTCTTTCCTAGATCTGAGGAACTATTCGGTAGATGATGAGGAATTACTAATAGTTATTATCGATTGTAGGAGGTGGCATCAAAAATTTTTAATCCGACCCGCTCATGGAGGAAATATTAAAGGTGATTGGGCGTCAGATAGAGCCCCTCAAAAATCTCTATAATTCAGATGCTCTATTCATTGTGGGTGACGATGATGATGAACTGGAGGATCCAATTGAAGGGAATAAGGACATTCATAGATATCTTCGAGACTCCGGGCAACTTCCAGACTGGTCAAAAATGTCTGTGAAGAACCTGAAAAAACCTGTGAGTTCACCTCTAGCTGAGCAAATGATGAAAATACTGAAGCCTGATGATACAACCGGACTGAAGCAAGAAATTAAGAAAGTGGATTTTGTTGATGATAAAACAGGTTTTGGGATGTTAATGAGGAGGCAGACTTTGTGCAGCCACATGAATTTGTCGACCTAAAGAAGGTGGAGAAAAACTCTGTTCCCTCGAAGGTGACACACATTACTTTTCTTAACTATCGTGCAATCATTGAGACCATTACTAATTTTTTAAATTTCATTTAGGATGAATCGGAACTCCAGTCAGAGTAGGAAAAAAGGATCGACATGCAAAATTAGTTTCGTTCTTCTCCAAACATTCTTGATAGACCTCATGATGGGATCAACTTCCAACAGGAAACCGAGAGCTGTTCTGAAGAGAACAAAATCAACATTGAAATCAACAGAACTAAACTCCATAATGAAGGCCTAAAAGTCAAGAGATTGGATCACCAAGTCAAGAGATTGGATCTCAAAAATGATTTGCTACAGCTGCAGTTGGAGAAGAAAAGATTGAAATTGGAGGATATGAAGAATAAATTGAAAAGAACAACAGAGGGGGAATGAGCAAATGAATGAGTAAAACCAAAGAAGAATTGCCAAACGTTAGCTTTTCGTAATAAGTATTGTTTTATTGTCTCATTGTTTTATTATCAATTTTTCTTTGAATTCATTTTGCATTAGCCTAATATGCATTTTGAAATCAAAATTACGGTCATTTTCCATTCATCTAGAGATGAAGCTATGTTATTTATGACAATCACAAATTAGAAATGAGTTTAACAGTCATTATGTATCCATATAGATGGTTTGACAACAATTTGCTTATAAATTATTTGTGGCGATCATTTGTGGTTACGAAATTCGTGCGTCACATGACCGTCATTTTTTGGTCACATGACGCGATCTCAAAAATGACTGTCATTTTGCATCTCTAATTCAGAATCATTGAGAATCAACAATGCTATTTTCAAAAACAAAACAATCAAATTCTCAGTTCTCAAAAACGTTAAAAGTAGATTGATCGATAATTGAAAATCAAAAATTCTTTTTTCAAACGCAAACCGGAGGATTTTTTCAAAGTTTTCAGAAAACTGGATAATTTTCTCCAATTTTTTATAAAAACGCAGAATTTTCTCAAATTCTTTAATAAACTGGAGAATTTTCTCGAAAAACGGAGAATTTTGTCGAATTTTCTAGAAAACCGAAGAATTCCCCTGAATTTATTAGAAAATCGATGAATTTCATGGAATTTCCTAGATAACCGTAGAATTCTTCCGAACTTATGAGAAAATCGGCGAACCTCATGCAATTTAATAGAAAATCGGAGAATTACCTTGAATTTTCTTGAATTTTTTAGAAAATCGTAGAATTTCCCAAAACGTTCCCAAATACCCAATTATTTTCTCGATTTTGTTTACAAAACTGGAACATGAATTCAAAGTTTTTAGAAAATTGGAGAATTTTTCCGATTTTTTTTTGAAAATCGACGGCTTTTCTCGAAAACCGGAGAATTTTCTGGAACGCTCTCAGAAACTTGGCTCTTCCGGACCAAGTTGAGAGTTGGACTCTGGATAATTTCTGGTTTTTGAGAGAAAATTTAGGGTTATTTGAAAGTTGAAGTGACGAGGCGTAAAATGCATTTTATGCCAGTCGCCCTCTTTACTATCAACTTTACTATCGGGATTGAAAATTTGATTTTTGAATTTTGATTCTCAAGTATCTCTGAATGTACTCTCAACTTTTTTGAGAGTTGAGAGTTGGATTTTTGATTCTCAATTGTCTTTCAATCTACTCTCAGTGAATTGAGAGTTAATTGAAAATCAAGAATCCAACTCTCAATTTTTTTGAAACTATTGAGAACTAATTGAGAATCAAAAATCCTATTTTCAGTAGTAATACCACTAGTGCTTCAAAATATCCGATTAATTTTGGAGCATGAGTGGTATTTGACGGATTATTTTTCTACTCGGATTTCGGCCAAGCAGAGGGCAGTGAACAGCACCCGGATACATTTACACAGTCATACATTTATAATCCATTTTTTTGTTTATCTGTCAGACAGAATATTAAACGTGAAATGCGTTGAAAGATGAGAAACATTTGAAAAGCTACTAGTGAATTTCCGTCGGAATTATTTTTAGAAATTTCCGAAATAAAACTGTTTGACAGCCTCAAATACTGCGCTCTGATCCGAGTGAGAAAAATAATCAGTAGTAATACCACGAGACCTCCAAAATTATCGGATATTCCCCGATTGTTTCGTTGCGTAGCAACGGGAGGGAAAAGTTTTGCAGATTAAAATCCCGAGCGCGCAGCGCCAGGGATTTTTATGCAAAACTTATCCCGATCGTTGATACGCAGGAAAACATGAGGGAAATGTCCGATTAATTTTGGAGGTCGGGTGGTATTCGACGGATTATTTTTGGTAATCGGATCCTTCCCAAAGCGACTCATTTTGACTTTCTTCATGACTTTCTTCCACTCCACAGGATAATATTTGACAATTATTTGGTTAGAGAAACAATTGCAGAGCTAGAGGGAAATTATCAAAAACTACAGGGAAATTATCATAAGCTAGGGGGAAATAACCGCTTTAATTTTAATTGGGAAGTACTTCATGTTATTGAATACTGAACTCTGATTGGCCCAGGGGAAGCCAGATCCGATTATTAAAAACAATCAACAAAAAAAAACAACATTCAATTCTCAATAAGTTTTCGAGAGAATTGTCCAATTCTTTGTAAAATTCGAAGAAATTCTCCAATTTTATAGAAAATTCTAGAAAATGGTTGGGTTTTTTAAAAAGTCACAGACAAAAAAATTCAACCCACGATTACTCGTTCAATGAGCGCGACGCCGCCCGTTTTTGTCTATTTATATTTTTGTGTTTCTTGACGCTTAAAAATTCTTAAAAATTAGAGTTCCTGGTTCAATCTTCCTATTGAGCGTTGGCATTGTCTGTTTTTTTCTCGAAAAATTTGTTTAGCTACAAAAAAAAACAAGTCGAACGGACAGAAAAGCGCGTCGCGCCGCTCCGCCCGGTGCGAGTAAATCTCTGTCGACCACTCGAGCGAGCTACATTTACTTCTCCATTCACTGCCACATTTGCAAGACGCACGTAGCGGTAGGGGCCAACATGGCAACAGCGCGCTCGGTTTACTCCAGCGGCGCTGCGCTAACCGTGCGATAAACGAAGGCTAGCGGCCGAGCGCGAGTGATCGAGGGTTAATAGAAATATTTACCTAGCGAATTGGTTAGAAACTTCTATTGGATATCTGTTGAACTCTCAATTAGTTTTTGGCCGATTCTATTGAGATGTTTAACAAAAAATATTCAATAGAAAAAGTCAATAGAATTCGATTAGTTTTCTATATAACTTATTCTATTGAGATATTTTTTATAGAATTCCCTCTTCTCAAATTTTCCAACTTTTTTTGTTTGATTTTCTTGATGAGAACAAAAGGAAAATAGTAAAAAATTTGAGCCAAGGACATTCTATAGAAAATATCTGAAGAGAATAAGTTAAATAGGAAAATCGAATTGCACTGACTTTTTCTATTGAATATATTCTATTGAACATTTTACTAGTATCGGCCAAAAACTAGTAGAAAATTCAAAACAAACTGTAATAGAAATTCCTAACGAATTCGCAAGATTTTTCTATTAAATTTTTTCATATGCGGTTCTTGAAAATTCGTAGGTTTTCGAGAAAATTTCGAGAAAATCTTCCGGATTTCGAGAAAATTATAGGAATGACTCTGGCGAACCAAGTTGATAGTTGGGCTTTCAATCATTTTCAGTGTTTGAGAGAAAATTGAGAGTTAGTTGAGGATTGGAGCAACGAGGACTACAATGCATTTTATGCTAGCCCCTCTCAATATTATCAACTTTTTTGAAAATTGAGAATTGGATTTGTAATTCTTGGTGATCTCTTTATTTCCAATCAACTTTTTCGGAATTGAAAATTAATCCCAGGACACTTTTAATATATTTTTTTTTCAAAGATAATTTGAAATGAAATTTCTAGTGAACGGAAATTTTTAAAATTAACCAGGAACAGGAGCCGAAAAAAAGCGAAAAATGTGAAAATCGACTCCTAGCCATTCATTGGAGCCTAGAAAGATCAATATCAAGGTTGAACGTAAGTCAACTTTGGGCCAGCTGTGCATTGACTTTTGGTCAACTTTGAGTCAACTTTAGCTTGGCCTTGGGTTAACCTTGGCTTGACGTAGTGTTTCCCGATCTAGTATCGATACTTACTTGTATCGATATTTTTTGTTCCGATATTCGATATTTTGGATCGATATTTGCGCATCGCGATATTGGGTGTATTGATATTTCTGGGTTGGGATTGATATTTTCTCACGGACAAGTAATGAGAAAAAAAATCTAAAAAATATTCATAACGGATTTAAAGACCAGGGCGGTCACAAGAATCAGATGATTTATCGGGGTCAAAATATCAGAAGGGACAAAAGGATCACAAGAGGATGGTCAAATTTTAAGAGGGTCAAACATCACGAGGGTCGAACGTCGCGAAGGTCACAAGGGGATGATCAAATTTCACGAAGGTCAAAAGTCACAAGGGTCACATTGAGACGATCAAGTTTCACACGGATCAAAAGTCACAAGGGGACGATCAAATTTCCCGAGGGTCACAAGGGGATGGTCAAATTTCACGAGAGTCGAACGTCACGAGGGTCATAAGGGAATGCCTAAATTTCACGAAAGCCAAAGGTCACGGGGGTCACAAGGGGACGATCAAATTTTACAAGGGTCAAAAGTCACAAGGGTAACAAAGAGACAAGGTTCACAAGTATCAAACGTGACGAGCGAGACAAGGAAACGATCAAATTTCACGAGGGTCAAACAGCACGAGGGTCACAAGGGGATGGTCAAATTTCACAACAAACGTCACGAGGGTCACCACGAGATGGTCAAATTTCACAAGGGTCATAAGGGGATGGTCAAATTCCACGAGGGTCAAATTTTCACGAGGGCCACAAGGAGTCGGTCAAATGTCACGGCAGTTAACCGACACAAGGGGACGGTCAATTTTCACAAGGGTCAAACTGGGAGGGTCACAAGGGGACGATCAAATTTACGAGTCAGTACGAAAGTTACAGGGAGATCGCCAGTTTTTGAACTTTCCAGGGCCCGAAATGATTCCGTGAAAAATTCAATAAACTTGAATAATGAACACCATTATCCTTCCTACAAAGAGTTGGAGATTGTTCCATGTGATTCTTTAAGATCGTTAAAGATTCGTATTTCCTTGTGACTCTTGTGATCCTTTGTTCCTCACTCCTTTGACGTTGGACCTTCGTGGAAAATGACCATTGGAACATTCAAACATCATAACATTTAATTATTCCTTTGTGACTCTCGTGACATTAGACCCTTGAATTGACGTTGGAGGCTATCATACCCTAGGTGGTATGATAGCTGCATTAAATTGTAGAAAAAAAAAGAACACAGTTTGTGGGAAAAAGCCTTTCGGCATAAAAAACCCAGATTTATCATCAATACACTAAGTTTGGAGGGTTCACTGCGAATGGCGGTGACACACACGATGATTCACACACACATACATACAACACCA